ATTGAGACCTGCCTTTATTTGTCCAAACCTGTAGCCTAGCCAGGCTAGTGAAGGAGCCGTGGGTCAAATTAGGACCCAGATTTTAATTTAAAGTAAAAATATAATAGTTTTATGATAATTAAACTTAATTCAATTCACCCAAATCCCACAAATATGACAGAGGACACGACCTCATTGTTTATCATCAGCTCACTGAGTCCCTTTGCTGGACAGAGGCTGGTACTACAGGTACGATACTGTGTGTGTGTGTGTGTGCGCGCGTTACATGTAGAAGTGTCCAAACAGCGCGTTCAGTGTTGCTCGGTTGTCGTCAGGAAGTTGCCGTAGCAACCGTCTGTAGGCTGAAAACCTAGAGCGCTCGTCTGAAATCACTGAGGAAGAAAAAGTACTGTTATTATACACATTATTACTGTGCAGGTATCTGAGCGAGCTGCAGGTACTTTTATTACAAATACTAGTACTGCAGACTGTCCTGTAATTCAGACCACTGACCTGCAGCAGTGACACAGCCAGCAGTACTACACATATTCTTTACTGCAAACAGTAGAACAACATGTACTTCTACTAGCACTGCTGTCGTTCTCTGTGGGGGTGAGACAGGAGTACTACCTGTTCTTGTACAAACACTGCTGTCGCCCTCTGTCGGTGTGAGACAGGAATACAACCTGTATTTGTACTAACACTGCTGTCGCCCTCTGTCGGGGTGAGACAGGAGCACTACCTGTACTTGTACTAACCTGCGGCGTGCAGCCACTGCTGTTGCTCTCTGTCAGGAATCAGACTCTCCAGCTGGCGGACATATTGTTTGAGGGCAGAGCAGGAGTCCAACACACCCTGCTCATCACTCTCCAGAGGGGCGGAGCTAGGTGATGTCATCAGAGCCTCCACTAATCGGTTCACTTTAACAGCGAGACCACAGCGGCGGTACACACCCTCCACCTTCAGACCTGTGAGACAGACAGACAGACAGAGTCAGACAGTCCCATAATGCTTTGCAGAACATATGCATATAAACCAGAAACTGACCATGGATGGTGATGTGGGAGATGCAGCGTTCGATGGCGGGCGGTACCGAACCCCTCGACCTCACATCCATCACCGGGTACAGAGACTGACGAGCTGCGCTGTGACTGGCTGCAGGACGCTGTGGAGCTGCTCTCTGATTGGTCAGAGCTCTCTGCAGGTGGTTGAACCACGACTGACAGCTGCGCTGCTCCTCGAAACGCAACGACACGCTCCTGCTGAGAAAAACATCAAGGTGTACCCTGTGATGTCACGTATACCTGTGTTGAGCTCAGCCAATCAGAAGTCAGGAAATAGTAGAAGTAAACATATTCTGTAGTTGTTGTTGATAAAATATAGCTGATATAAACTGATTGATTTGTAATTTTCTTCACATGTGACTATTTTATTAGCAGTTTAATAGAAATAGAAAAATAAATGTGTGTTGCTCACCTGTCTGCAGTCACCAAGGTGATGATGTTTTCAGATGGATGCATTTCTGAAAGACAAATTAAAACCAGATGTAATGATCAAGACAGTTCATAGGTTTCATTTTCATTTTCTATCTGTGTAATTTGAAATTGATTTTATTATTTATTATAGACATTTGCTTCAAATTTTAACTTTACACTTCACTGAGGAATCATTAAAAAAAATAATAAAGAAAAATTAATAATAAAGAGGCTTATACAGGTGTCTGTATGAGGTCTATGAAAAAGAAAAAGACTGTTACCATGGTGACTGAGCGTGCTCAGTTCCATCCTCAGACTCTGTTGTGTGTGTTTGTGGACGGGATGAACGCTGACTCCGTCCTCCCACAGCAGCAGCCAGGCGTCAGAATGACTCGAGGCTCCGCCCTCCTCAACCAAACACACTTTACTGACTGCAGAAGCCGCGCCCACCTCGGCATAAGACACGCCCCCTGGCAGAATCACCTTGAAACATGAACACAGGTTATATTGATAAGTAGTACATAAATATGATTATGATTATCAATCCTATTAATTGGTTTTACATTGTGACATCGATACGTGTAAATATCTCATTTCCCAAATGAGGTCTGCTCTGAAAAGTCAAACTAACTGGAGGTCTCTCACAGACTCAAACTGGTCCTCACAGAGATAGAAACACGCTCTGCTTTACCTTCAGTATATAAACCAGGTGACTCAGCAGCTCATCCTGGTTGTCAGCAGCACAGATCAGCTGATCGCTCAACGTCACCATCTCAAACTCATGAGCCGGTCTGAAAACACACATATGAATGGGGAATGAAGTCCTGGTATCAGAGTCAGAATCACTTTATTGAACAGATATGTGTGCACATACAAGGAATCACCAACACAGACTGACAGCATCAAAAAACAGACACCGACTCATATGTGCAGTTATACATATCTATAAACAAACAGAAAACATCTATAGACAGTAGACAAAAAATCTATATTTTACATGGAGGTTTCTTTATGTACATGAGATAGGTGTATATACAGTATGCATATTAGTAGTATTAATGAATTCATAATTAAAGAAATCTAATTAGCACAGATTTAAAAAAAACAAACTTGTTGATAGAATGATAGAGATAGAAAATTAAACGCTGAGCTCACAAAAAACTAATGATAATTACATAAAGTCGCAGTGAATTAAGGATTTATTTCCTCCAAACCAGAGTCGGTGAAGACTAACAAAGATGGTTTTAGTACGTTTTTTTTCTGTTTCTGTCCACTTTGGCTTTAATTGAAGTTACATGAGGAGTGGATGAGTGATATTTAGCGGCTTGTTTTGGGTGAACAGAAGCAAGATGGTCTACTCTGTAGCATTCCTTTCACCTAATTACCGAGTGACCAAATCTGCGATTACTGTCAGGAGACTGTGGGTTTGACCAAAGTACAGCATGGGAGGGCAGGGTTGCGGACTCAATTCCAAAAACTTCCTCTGTGCACAAAGCAACATACCGTGGCAGAAGGACATTAAGTGGTAGAAGTAAGTCCCGAGGACAGGAGGACGAGAGAGCGCATATGCCAAAGCCATCTCAATGCGCCAAGCAACGGGAAGATGGAACATAACTGGGAGGCTGGGAGAAGAAAAAGCTCAGCTGGCATGACATCTGAGCAATGTAGGCAGAGCGGGCTGAGTTTTGTTAATCAGAGCCCATATGATCTGCACCTCCTCCCCCACCCAAAATCATTGAAAGCGTGGTATGGAAGAAGATCCCACCTGTTCCCTGGTTCAAGTACCTCGCATCCCCTAAGGCACCATTCTGTCAGGCCCACCTACAAGTCTCATCCAAGGGGCGCTATACGTTGGCGGCGAGTAATCCAAGGTAGCTCAGAGAGCTTGCATCTAATACTGCGCAACAGAAGCGACCACCCACAAAAACTCCCACAAACATGCAGCAGGACAGGTCAACTTCACAAATTTCTGTACCAGCTGGCAAACCATCAAAGAGCAATATACACAACCCTAAGGATAAAGCATTCCTGCATCAGCGCGGGGATTTTGAAATTGGAGTGGACCTTGATAAGAAAGCTTGTGTTTTTCCCCCAGAAATAGTGGCTTTACGACACTCCGCCAAACACCGATGCGTTCCGTTGGTCTCCAACAACACAAGCATAGGCATCTGTAACTGGGA